TTAGCTCCACCCGAGCACAGCGCCGATGCATCGGCGGTGCATCAGGTTCGCCAGGATAGTGAAATCGGGCTCCAGATCGAGCCGCATCGCATACATCGGCGATGCGGCGTGAACCCCATCTACTCGTGCCCACTTTAGGCGGACTGTGAGGAAGGGGGGCAGGAGCAGAAAATAAACAGGGACCATCGCCACCGAGAGCCCATCGGGGCAGGGATCGCCCTCCCCCCCCACGATGGGTTTTCGGTGGCGGCGGTCCCTGCTTGTCCTCTGAGCAGCAAGGGCATCGCCATACGAAGAGAGCTCCTGGGAGGCCAAGGGCTGCCCCACGACCGGCCAGACACGGCCGCGAGCTGTCGGGCTACCGCTCGAAGACAGCACGAAGTCACGGGGGCTAGGCGGACGGATGGACGCTCGCACACGCGCCGAGGCGCGGCTCCGCTGGGAACGGAGCAGTGGCGCACTGGCGCCGAGCCGCCGAAATACATAAACGAGGTGGACGGCAGACCGGCGTGCGCGGCAGAGCGCCCTGCGGAGGCTATCGGAGCACTGCCCGGGACTTCGGGCGCCCGTCGCGAGCTCACTTTATACGCCTACCAGCTCCGGGCGTCCCTGTTGAGAGGAGGAGGAGGAGGAGGAGGAGGAGGAGGAGGAGGCAGAAGAGGAAGAGGAGGAGGAGGCGGAGGAGGAGGCGGAGGAGGCGGAGAGGAGGCGGAGGAGGAGGAGGCGGAGGGGGAGGAGGAGGCGGAGGAGGAGGCGGAGGAGGCGGAGGAGGAGAAGGAGGCGGAGGAGGAGGAGGAGCCGGAGGAGGCGGAGGTGCTGATGCCACCTGTGCAGCGCCTCGGTGGCCGCCCAGGCGCCCAGGCGCCCAGTGTCTGGGGCATTCGAACTGAAACAGGGGGAATTGCTGGCAGTGCCGCGCGAACGTGAACGCGAGCCTGGGGAGGAAAGGGAGAAGGAGAAGGCCTTCTCAGAGGGCTCGGAAGCCCCCCAGCCTTCTAAGAAGTCTTCTAAGCCTTCCCCGAAGGCACAGCAAGCTCTTCAGAATGCCGGCGCGCTTCTGAGAAGCCCCGCCGCCTTCTGAGAAGACCCTCTCCTTCCCGCTTCTCCCTCTCGCTCGCCGCCGAAAAACGGTATCAACGTAAACTGTCGGAGCTTCGCTTGGATATTCGGCACGAACGAACTTGGTACGGAAAGAATGGGTACAATGCCCAAAAGCAGCTGCTGTGTTCATTTTGAACAGGACTCGATGTCCGCGCCGCCGCGGCCTGTCCATTTGAGACAGAAAGCCGCCTGCCCAACAGCGGCCGCTGTTGATTTGGGACAATTTGTTGTTGGGCATTGTACCCATTTTTCCGTACCCATTCCAGGCGTCCAAAGATTGAGCATCGTTTGACCGATCCCCATCCCCAGCGGCTGGCCTGGGCCCCACTGGCCGATTTACCCCCCTAGATGGGGATATAGGCCGTTCCTTCGGGTTTCGAGGGGTGTATCCCCAACTGGGGTGGTAATTTGGTGGGGGTCTGGAAGGGGATGAGGACGCGGACGGGGGTCGGATAAACGATACTGAGATGTCTTGGATCCTCGCTGGACCCCCCCCCCCTCCGGCGGCGGGCGGAGCGGCGCAGTGCGGCGGAGCGCCAGACGGCGCCGCCGGGGAGGCCCGGCACCGGTCCCGAGAGATCCGCGCGGAGCTCTGAGTCTGAGAGTTTAGCGCTTGTGCGGTTTTCTTCCTCGAGGGGATAGAAGAAGAAAAAAACGCCAGAAACATAAACCGACGGCGCTCCGCGCGGATTTCTTGCATCTGCGCTGGGCCCCCCTCCCTGGCGCGCGGAGCGCGCCAGGGGCGCCGCCGGGGGAGGGATTAGATGCAAAGGGCTGCGAGCAGGGAGGGCGCGGCTTGCACCAGAGTCTCGTCCAAATCCAACACGAGCGTGTAGAATGTGGAGCTGCTCGCGCTGCTTCTCCTGCTTGGGCGGGCAAGTGAGTACCACCCCGTCGAAGCCGCTCTGCCCCCGCTTCTTCCCAACGGCAACGCAAATTGCCAAAAGCATCGACGTCGCCCGGCTGTTATCATCACCTCGCCATCTCAACACGTACACAAACACAATCATCATACCCATTGCCACCATCGTCAACATCATCATCATCATCATCATCAGCAGCAGCAGCAGCCACATCCCCGTCACGATCATCACCATCACCAAAAATACCGCCATCGTCGTCACCATCATCATCATCATCATCATCATCATCATCATCATCATCATCATCATCACCATCATCATCATCATCATCATCATCATCATCATCAGCATCAGCATCAGCATCAGCATCATCATCATCATCATCATCATCATCATCATCATCATCATCATCATCATCATCATCATCATCATCATCATCATCATCATCATCATCATCATCATCATCCATCGTCATCATCATCAGCAGCAGCATCATCATCAGCATCATCATCGTCATCATCGTCAGCATCATCATCATCATCATCAGCATCATCATCACTAGCATCATCATCATGATCATAACCACCACCAACACCATCAGAATCAACAACAATATAATCACATCGTCCGAAAGATCATCACCACCGGCATCAGCATCGTACCCAGCATCAGCATCAGCATCCTCATCATCATCAGTATCATCATCACCATCAGCATCATCACCATCATCAGCATCATCATCAGCATCATCAGCATCAACAGCAGCATTAGCATCAGCATCATCATTATAATCAGCATCGGCATCGTCATCGTCATCGCCATCATCATCATCATCAGCAGCAGCAGCAGCAGCAGCATCAGCAACATCCTCATCATCAGCAGCAGCAGCATCATCATCGCCATCAGCATCGGCGTCATCATCCCATCAGCATCACCATTCTCCACGTCCTAATCTAAACCATCGTCCTCCACATGTTCCTCATCAGTTGCCCCCTCAGCATCATCATCATGAGCATCATCATCAGCACCACAATCATCATCATCAGCATCATCACCACCATCCTCATCATCACGGTCAGCATCAGCATCATCATCATCCCAAGCATCATCATTATCATCATCAGCACTACTGTGATCATCCGCATCATAAAATCCTCATCATCAGCGTCATCAGTATCGTCTTCATCATGATCATCATCGGTACCAGCAGCAGCATCATCATCAGTATCCATGACTCTCCTGGTGATCCATCCCTCCTCACGACCAACATGTCAGTAGGGCCGACAGGGCGAGTTTTCTGCACAACGAAAGAGATCAGGAACATTGAAGGCTACAACGATTACCCGTTCGTATGGCGGTATATTTTCGTATGGAGATACAAAGCGAAAAAAGTTGGAGGAGGAGGAGGAGGAGGAGGAGAGCACGATCACTGCTAGCCTGGACACCCAACATGGCAACCAATTTGAAGCAGAGGTTGCGTTGGCCAAGCGCCGAACCTCACGAGAACCTCTGCTTTAAACCCTGCCACATGCCAGCGTCACGAAGCCCAAGCTTGTCTAAGATTCACAGGAGGATGGAGTGGAAAGAGGAGGAGGGAGAAGCGGGGGAGAGGGAGAGCTGCGGATGCGGTGCACAATAAAAGCTAAAATTGTCACAGGCCTGACTAAAGCTACGAAACTTGTTGACATAGAGCCTGAGCTGTCGCAGGGTCTATGCCCACGGTGCGAGGTCGAACTCACAGGACAAGGCGGGTCGCGTTCAAGAAAAAACCGTCGCACATGTACCTCTACCGTTCCACGTATGGAGGGAGGGTGGTTCTCGGAATGCGGCTCCCGCCTTAATATCACGTACATTCGTCCTTGACGCCTCCAACAACTAAACGGATGCAGGGCGGGTCGTTTCCATAATTAATATGGTGCTAGCCTGAGCGCCGCGCAAGTTCGATTCAAATGCCTCCAAAAGCATACGGTTGGCGGGCGGTTGCGCTTTCAACGTGTGGCTCTCGGCTGAAGCTGACATGACGTACGCACCGGAAGCTTGGCACCGTCAGTAACTACACAGATGGGGGGCGCGCCTTTTTCAAAATGTTAGCCAGCGTGAAACCCCAAACAATGAGGTACTGCGCTGTGGAGGTAAAAGCTACGCGGAGCAAGCTATGTGATGCTAGCTATGTTGTGTGAGCTACGTGATGCGAGTTACGTGGTGCAAACTAAACTGTGGAAGCGATGTGCGTGAGCTACGTTGTATAAACCATGTGAGGTGAGCTATGTGGTGTGATTTGTGGTGGAAGCTACGCGGTGTAAGCGATGCGGTGTGAGCCGTGTTGTGTGGACTGTGTTACCCACCTGGGCACGGGGCGCCCACGAGGCGCCCACGGGCGAGCACCAGGCGAAACCTCGGCGAACACACCCATGGCACGGGGCGACCCCGAGCGCCTACGAGGCGCCCGTGGGCGGGCATCAGGCAAAACCTCCACGGACCCATCCAGGTCGCCAGAGAGCGCCCGCGAGCGCCCGCGAGGCGCCCACTGGCGGGCACCAGGCGAAACCGCCACGGACCCGCCCAGGGCACCGGGCACCCACGAGCGCCCACGCGGCGCCCACGGGCGGACACCCAGCAAAAACCTCGGCGGGCCCGCAAAGCGCATGTGGCGCCCACGAGCGCCTACGAGGCGCCCACGAGCGAGCACCACCAAGATCGTGTTCTCGCTCCGGTGCCACACACACATCAGGAGTGAATGGGCCGAACGGTCTTACACTGTCCGCGACCCACCCGCGACCCGCCACCGACCGATACGCGACCCGCCCGCGACCCACCCGCGACCCACCCCGTACCCGCCCGCGACCAACCCACGATGCTTTGACAAACAAAAAGTTGGCGCCGGGTGCAATGTGTACAGTTTTGTTCCGTACCAACAGCAAGGATGAATGAGCGACCCCGGCCCCCAAGCCACAGCATAATACGAAGCAGCGAATCGCGGCCGCCAACTCGCACGTGCCCGCGCGCAGTATTCAAATGGGCCCTGAAACGAAGCTGCACGAGAGATACCACGAAACAACAGGAAGAGAAAGGGAAGAAAGCAGAAAGAGACAGAGAGAGAGAGAGAATGTAAAGTATCGGTGCTTGCGGCGGGCTTTTTCTAATTTTTTTTCGACCCTCGCAGACTGCTGAACACATCCCTCCTCGCCCCCTCACTCTTATCCGCAACTGCGGGTGCGGTGGTATCCTCCGAACGTCTACCTCTACCAGCTACACGGATCGAGGGCTATCCCATGCCAAACTCATCCGGTCAAACCTGCAAACTTGCAGAAACCTCCAGAACATGTCAAAACCATACAGGAACCTCCGAAGCCTCTAGAAACCTTCCAACACTTGCGAAAACTGCTGGGAACCACGAAAAATCCCCGCCCTCTCATCTAGACCGCCAGAGAGCTTCCGGACCCCGCGGAAACCTCCGAATACACTCCAGCACTTCGCTGGTTCTTCATCATGAGTCGTTGTTGCACGGTGCGGGGGCCCGACACTGGCAACGCGGGAGGTATGGGGCCTCCACAAGCCGACCGAAGACCCCCGAAGCCCCCCTCCTGCAGGAGCTGTCGGGGGGGCTCCTCGGCAGGAACGTGTCGCTGTCCAGGTCCGCGATCACCGGCGCGTGGGGCTCGAACAGCACGGCCGCCCCGCCCTCGGCGAAGCGGCCTTTGCCTCCCAGCCGCACCCTCCCTCAAGGAAGAGGGCCCTAAGCATCCAGCGTCTCGGAAAAATCGAGACGGTAGTCTTTTCTCTATGTTCGGTTTCTGGAGGCCAGTTCTGGGCCCCGGGACTGTTGAAAATTAGTCCGGTCAAGGACCCAGCCATACGCAGTTGTGAATACCCTCTGTGGCCACGGCTTCCTGCCAGAGCCCGACATGCTCAGGGACACGTTCGTGGCCGTCTTCGCGGGCGCCGACGGCAACGAGGACGGCGTACCCCTGACCGAGGAGGAGAAGCAGGAGAGGGCTCTGAGGCCACGATCCTCCTGAGGGGTGTGCCGAAATAGCCCGAGGCCGCCATGCGAACCCTGCCACTGGCGCCTTCGGTGGAGCTATGGGGCCACGATCCTCGTGAGGGGCGTGCCGAAATGGCCCGAGGCCGCCATGCGAACCCTGCCACTAACACCTTCGGTAGAGCTTCCTATGGGGCCACGATCCTCGTGAGGGGTGTGCCGAAATGGCCCGAGGCCGCCATGCGAACCCTGCCACTGGCGCCTTCGGTGGAGCTCCCCCTTGGGCCACCATCATCGTGAGCGGTGTGCCAAAATAGCCCAAGGCCGCCATGCGAACCCTGCCATTGGCGCCTTCGGTGGAGACCCCATATGGGGTCACGATCCTCGTGAGGGGTGTGCCGAAATGGCCCGAGGCCGCCATGCGAACCCTGCCACTGGCGCCTTCGGTGGAGCTATGGGGCCACGATCCTCGTGAGGGGTGTGCCGAAATGGCCCGAGGCCGCCATGCGAACCCTGCCACCAGCGCCTTCGGTGGAGCTTCCTATGGGGCCACGATCCTCGTGAGGGGTGTGCCGAAATGGCCCGAGGCCGCCATGCGAACCCTGCCACTGGCGCCTTCGGTGGAGCTCCCTATGGGGCCACGATCCTCGTGAGGGGTGTGCCGAAATGGCCCGAGGCCGCCATGCGAACCCTGCCACTGGCGCCTTCGGTGGAGCTCCCTATGGGGCCACGATCCTCGTGAGGGGTGTGCCGAAATGGCCCGAGGCCGCCATGCGAACCCTGCCACTGGCGCCTTCGGTGGAGCTCCCTATGGGGCCACGATCCTCGTGAGGGGTGTGCCGAAATGGCCCGAGGCCGCCATGCGAACCCTGCCACTGGGGCCTTCGGTGGAGCTCCCTATGGGGCCACGATCCTCGTGAGGGGTGTGCCGAAATGGCCCGAGGCCGCCATGCGAACCCTGCCACTGGCGCCTTCGGTGGAGCTCCCTATGGGGCCACGATCCTCGTGAGGGGTGTGCCGAAATGGCCCGAGGCCGCCATGCGAACCCTGCCACTGGCGCCTTCGGTGGAGCTCCCTATGGGGCCACGATCCTCGTGAGGCGACTCGTGAAGGGTGTGCCGAAATGGCCCGAGGCCGCCATGCGAACCCTGCCACTGGCGCCTTCGGTGGAGCTCCCTATGGGGCCACGATCCTCGTGAGGCGACTCGTGAAGGGTGTTCCGAAGTGGCCCGAGGCCGCCATGCGAACCCTGCCACTGGCGCCTTCGGTGGAGCTCCCTATGGGGCCACGATCCTCGTGAGGCGACTCGTGAGGGGTGTGCCGAAGTGGCCCGAGGCCGCCATGCGAACCCTGCCACTGGCGCCTTCAGTGGAGCTCCCTATGGGGCCACGATCCTCGTGAGGCGACTCGTGAAGGGTGTGCCGATATGGCCCGAGGCCGCCATGCGAACCCTGCCACTGGCGCCTTCGGTGGAGCACCCTATGGGGCCACGATCCTCGTGAGGGGCGTGCCGAAATGGCCCGAGGCCGCCGTGCGAACCCTGCCACTGGCGCC